TCCCTGGTTGAAAAGAAAATGAGAAGTAACATGGAAGAGTGACTTATACACAAATATTTAAAATTTCATAGACTAAGGAGGTATGTGTAAATGGAATAATCTCCCACTTTGTCCAGAAAGAACAGTGGAGAAACCCAACAGGTCTGGCAGCATCCATGGAGAGAAAAACAGGTTTAACGTTTTGAGTCTGTTTAGATTTAAATAAGTCGTAACGGATTCGAAACATTAACTCTGCTTCTCTCTCCACAGATGCTGCCAGACCTGCGGAGTTTCTCCAGCATTTTCTGCATTTGTTTCAGATTTCTAGCATCCAAAATATTTTGCTTTTATCCCACTCAGCCACATGTTAGACTTAACAGGTGTAACAAAACCAAAAGTTCAACCTGACCTGTAACGTCAATGTTTCATGATGCATGCAGCAGCTTTGTAATGAAAAAAAAGTACTAACTTCATCTATGTTAGGAGTAACCACTTTATTTAAAGCAACAAATCATAGTCTCCAAGTGTATTGAGCTAGATGGGAAGCACCACATGGAAAAAAATTATTTGTTAGTAACTGTTTTATACTAAGTTTTGCTAAATTGTTACTGTCAAATGAAATCACCAGCCCTTAAGAGAATGAAAATTCTTTTTTCTTACGTAAACAAAACATCTCTCTACATCAACTCGTGATACTTTTCTTTAAAAGAAGGTGTAACAAGGCATTCAACAAAACTTCAGCACAACGCTGATTTAAAGACAGGTGAAAATCTCATCAGAAGGGACTAATTTAAGAACGTTGCTATCCTTGTGCAAAAAAGGGGAAAGTGATATAATGATAGAGTTTGAAATTCACTAAATTTTTGTACAGACAAGAGTTAATTAAATAACTGCTACCAGAAATTTAAAATTTCAGGAACCCATGAGTCTAAAAAGAGGTTCTATAATGAGTTTGCACAATTTATTATAGCATTAACAATAAAAAAGCTATCCTTCATAAATCAGAACACGAGTTTTCTCCCACCATCGCGTCCACTATAGGCCTGGTTACAGGAAGGAATAAGTAACTTGAATTATTGTGATTAAAATGAAGATGTCAGTTAAAAGAAAAAGCACACATCACGCATCTTGAATTCTGACCAAGAAATGATGGGAAACAAGGAACAGAAGTTTTCAGGAGTAGAGACTTTCCTACTCCAGGTTATCCTGCAAGGCACGACTAGGATCTTTTTCTCTGTTACCACCCACCTCTTAAAACCCTCCTCCCCATTCCTTCCAATCTCATTTGTATCTGCAGAAAATAGAGTACGAGAGAAAGCTAGTCAGCAATATAAGAAACAGATAAGAAGAGTTTATACAAGTATTGAGATAAGAGAGTTAGTAAAGCTAGCGTTGTTTCTCAGCAGCGAGTCTGAGAATTGATAATAGAAAACAAAAAAAAATTATGGAAGGGGTGACAGGTATGTTGTGTCTATCTTCATGGTAAGAGACTTCAAAACTTTCCTAAAGATAACTGAAAGTCATGAGGCGATAGGGAGGGACGACAGATGACTGTTACAAGATTTGGAAGCACAGGCAATATGTGCACTAGTTATAATCTTCCAAAATCCCGATGATTCTGGAAAGTTCTCAGCAGATTAGATGCTTTTATGCAAGTGGGACCAAATTTCAGCTACCTTCTGATGCCTTCTGTTTTCCTTATGTTCTGTACTTAGTTGCACTGCACCCAGGAGGGAGGTACACTGTATTAAACATTGAAGGAGACCAACCAGAATTTGGTTCCTTATAACTTCAGTTTAGAAAGCGGGAAAAGAAATCACCTGGAATGGCTACAGTGAACACATATCAAATTGGTCATAATACCCAAAACTAAAATTTACTCAGACAACCACCACTCAGCTTTGCCACAATTCTAAATCAGAGAACCAATGTATGAATGGAATCATGTCCTCCTGAATAATGGATACAGTTTTCGCCACAGATTTATTTTCATGGATCATGATGTTTTTTATTTTTTAACATCAATGAGTAAGATAAATCTGTCTTCCTCTATGTTTTTAAACTTTATTCATTAGATCATCCATGTATTAGTAAATGCAGAGACGTGGTTTACAAAACCAAACAGTCACAACATTAAAGTACGCAATACAAAGATTTGAGGAGCAATGGTTGGGTTAAACTACACCAATAGACTCTATCACTGTTACGATTCTCTTAGCCACTGCCAATTCCAAAATTAAAAAAAAAGAAGTGTCTTTCAAGTTAGTTTTTTTCCCCACCCCATTCAAGGGATGTGGGTATCATTGGCTAGGCCTGCAGTATTGACCATCTTAACTGCCCTGCCTTCTTGAAGGTCAACTCATTAGTTTTTTCTGGGTACTTTCCTGACAATTTTGGTCTCCAAAAACAGTCATTTCACAGAACTATAAATTAAAGCTTGGTTTTATTTCTAGTTAACCTCAAGTATGTATCCACTCTTGCAGTCAGATATGCCTTCCAACTTCCCAAACAGACATTTCATGCAGCAATTGGAGAAGGAACAGCTGTAATCAGAGCCAAGAATACAGAACTGTTTATTGGTGACAATTATTGTCACAAACAGCAAGACCGCTCACACACACAAATAACAGACTGCTGTTTGATTATTTTTGATTTTACTGTAAAAAGTAATGAATTGGCATGTTTCCCATTCATAGGATTTTCAAATCTCTTCAGTCACTGTACTGTAGGAAAATATAGCAAGCAATTATGTCTACCTGAAGCTTAGCACCACACTACAGGTACAGCCAACTGAAATAAGCACTGCTAGTGAAATTTGCATTGAGTAAATATTAGGTAGCAATCATGTATTGTACTTTTTTTTTGAAGTAACTAGATATTCATCACAATTTGTACTAATATTTTCTTCTTATAATGAATATAGAATTTTTTTTAATGCAAAGAAAGTGAGAGAAACCGGATTAAAATGGTTAAAACAACACAAGTATTTTGACTTCAAAAATTACCGAACTGTTATAGCAGCATTTAAGGACAAAAATATATACATATATGCATTTTATGCATATATGGTGGTATCGATGATGACACCTAATGGTTAGTACAAAGTAATGCTCCTACCTCTAGCCTTAAATGTACTAATTCACACACCTGTACACAATAATATTTACAACATGTTAAACCATTTGCTTGAGCAACAAAATGCAAAAGTTGTTCTAGTATAGGAACGTCAATTCTATAGCTTTACTAAGGCACCTAGAACAACTTTAGTTGTTTTAATGTAATAAAATATCTCAAGGTAGTTACAGATGAAGAGTCTTTTGTCCTAAACCTAGTCTGGTTTTAAATACAGGTCTCAGCACATAACTCGGAGGCAAAAGAACAAACGCTATGTTTGTGAGCTGAAATTTTCTACATTCTGCTAGCATAATACTATTTCTGATTAGCAGAACTTGGTTAACTAAGAAGAGTAATTAGCTGAAAGAGTGTCAACAAATGTTTTCTCCTCCAGCTCCATGTGCTTCTATCAGTTTAAAGGGCGTTGGGAAGATCGGGAGAGAAATATTAAGTTTAGGCGCAAATAAACATTCACGGAGTAGTCATTTTGCATTAAATGGACACAAACACAGGTATAGTTCATATATTTTGAAGGGAATACTTTCCATTCTTAGTCCCGTTTTATAGGGATTGATTAATACCATGCTGTATACACCATACCAATTCACTTACGTTCCCAATTTTCGCTACCAATACCTATTGTATACTGCTGCAGCCAAATTAATATGTATTCTGAGAAGATAATGAAGCATAATACGGAGACAAATCTTTAAGAATATCTTCAGCACATCACATTCTATAAACAAACAGTCATTAATGCAGTCAAAAAATGAATCCGCTAGTTCAAAATATTGCTGTTTAAAAGAAAGTGCAATTATGTAGAGAGACCATAAATGAAAAATAAGGAACAAGTCTGAAAAATTCTTGTCAAACATAATAATCATGCATACAACATCTTAAGACATTTCAAATAATGATACTACTCCTTAGCCAAATGCATAGTTCATTGACAAGCATTAATTTTTTTTCCAATAAAATATAATTGTCATTCATAATTAGGGAACCTCCATAATCCACACTTAGTTTGCATTCCAGTATAGCTCCAAATTAAAATTATCAGCCTACATTGTACTACTCTAGCATCAACTGGATAGTCAATTTCCAAAATAAATCAACTTTCACATTTAACATCAATAGCTTGAGGTTCTTTACATCCTGTGTTTACTTAAAAATGGCCCCCATCAGCCAAAAAGGTACAATCTGTGTCATAGCAGTCCAATTATTGGGAGCCAAGGCAATGTGGTCTTATTTATTTGCTGGTTGGGTGATAATTTTGGGATGCAAGTTTGGAAAGACTTCAACACTGGCCTGTGATCAATAAATTCTAACGCTTTTTTTTGTATCAGAAAGTTCAGTCATATGAAACCTAATGAGAACATGGATTTAAAAGGATATGCTTTTATAACAATATGTGTACAACATACTTGATAACTCAAATGCAGGCAAAATCTTAAAGCCAATCTGAAATGTCCCACAAACAACAAATGAGATGACTACAAAGTTTTTGAAGATGGAAAACTGTTGATTACAACACTGAATACTGGATAGCATCTTGTATACCTACCAAAACAAGTTGGTTTAATCTCTCATCAAAAAGATAACACCTTCTGGCATTCCATCCTTAATGCACTTAGTCAACATAGGCACATGATCTATGTTCCGCAACAAGATTTAAAACTTTAGATTTGGAAACAAGCCTGCTTAGCTGACACACCAATTAACCATAATCAAGATTGAAACAAATTCAAATTTATGTTAATTGAATTATGATCATCTTCATTCACAGAGTATTCCTGTGCCATACATGCAACTTTGAGGAATCCATTCTATTATGGAGATTTCCCCGTACATCAAAATATCTCCTGCAAACTTTAACCATAATTTATCAGACATGAACATTTACTTACTCTTTCTAAGATCATAATCCTATGTTTTTCCTCAGACATCTGGATGGTTTCACTGTAATGAAGTAAACAGAACTTTGATTAATGCATAAAAAAATTTAAATAAAAAATTCAATGCTTTTTCCAGCTAACAAATTTCAAGAGTTTCAGATGAACAATCAGCAGCAGATTTTACACTATGGTAGGTACACTGAGCTAGTTTAAGGATTTTCTGCACTCCCACCATCATCCTCAAAAGTATAATTCCTTAAGGTAGATATGCAATCAAGCTTCTTAAATGCAAGATACATGGTGTAGAGGGGGAGAAAAAAGGACAAGGATAAAGACGCAAGCTTCATCATCTGAAAAAATTAGAAGCAATTTGGTTTATTTGTTTTTATAGGTGAATCAGCCAGCATACATTTTTATGTTTAGTGGCACCACAGCCTAATCTTACCCAACCTTTCCTGTCTACAAAGTAGAACCTTGTACATTCAAAAACTTGCTTTGATCATTTTGGAAACAGCAAATACAAGATTATGTGACTAAAGACAAAACCTGGACTGGTGCTAAGAACATTTAATTTTGAATAATGTAGTTATTACACAATGTGATCAATGGTATTTCTCAAGTAGGAAACAGAATTTTCTGAATTACAACTGGAATTGCGACCCATTTTGAACTGTTTAGAATGACACCGCATCATACTTAAAGTAACGGTGCTTGTGTAGCATTGTGTCCTGTTTTGAATTAGTAGTTGCCCTGCTTGCATGAGGAGTCATAGGCTGGAGCTGTGAATGAAAACTGCAATATTTTTATTAATTCATTAATTTACTGGTGTAAATTTACTGGTTACATCAATATTTATGGCCCATTCCTAATTTCCCTGCAGAAGTTGCTAGGGAGTTGCCTTCATGAACTGCTACAATACCTAGGGTGTAGGCACATCTACAGTACTGTTAGGAAGAGAATTCCAGGATTTTGATTCAAAATTCAGGCTCACTTAACTAGTCTTGAGACAACTTTATAGTTTTGACCATGAAGAAATAGACAGAAATCAATGTAATTCAAGCAATGTCACAACCTCCATTACTCCGTGCATCTTAAATGGAGAGTCAGACAGTAAAATCCTCTTTTCACAAGCCAACAGAGCTGCAACTATTAGACAGCAATTGGCAGTGCAGTGGGCAAAGAAGGTTACCTCAGAGTATAACGGGATCTTGAACAGATGGACCCAATGGGCTGAGGAGTGGCAGATGGAGTTTCATTTAGATATATGTGAGGTGCTACATTTTGGAAAGACAAATCAGGACAGGACTTTTACACTTAATGGTAAGGTTCTGGGGAGTGTTGCTGAACAAAAAGAGCTAGGAGTGTAGATTCATAGTTCCTTGAAAGTGGAGTGGCAGGTAGATGGGATAATGAAAAAGGCATTTGGTATGCGTACATTTATTGGTCAGCGCATTGAGTATAGGTGTTGGGAGGTCATGTCACGTTGTACGTGACACTGGTTCAGCCACTGAGTATTGCATGCAATTCTGGTCTCCCTCCTATAGGAAGGATGTAGTAAAACTAGAAAAGGTTCAGAAAAGATTTATGAGGATATTACCAGGTTGAGGGTTTGAGCTATGGTGAGAGGCTGAATAGGCTGGGGTTATTTTCCCTGGAGTTTGAGGCTGAAAGATAACCTTAAATAAGTTTAGAAAATCATGAGGGGCATGGATAGGGTAAATAGACAAGGTTTTTTCCCCCTGGGGTGGGGAGTCCAAAACAAGAGGGCATAGATTTAAGGTGAGAGGGGAAAGATATAAAAAAAGGGACAGAGGGGCAATCTTTTCATGCAGAGGGTGGTGTATGGAATGAGCTGCCAGAGGAAATAGTGGAGGCTGGTACAATTACAACATTTCAAAGGCATCTGGATGGGCATATGAACAGGAAGGGCTTTGAGGGATATGGGCCAAATGCTGGCAAATGGGACTAGATTTATACAGGATATCTGGTTGGCATGGACGAGTTGGACCGAAGGGTCTGTTTCCGTGCTGTATATCTCTATTACCTTCATAATAGCCTTCAAAACACAATTAAGTAATCTGAACAGAAAATATCTGCAGTGCTAATGGCAAAAAGATGGGTGAACCAGACAAGGTGAGATAACAAGGTGTAGAGCTGGATGAACACAGCAGGCCAAGTAGCATCAGAGGAGCAGGAAAGCTGACGTTTCGGGCCTAGACCCTTCTTCAGAAAATCTTTCCTGCTCGGCCTGCTGTGTTCATCCAGCTCTACACCTTGTTATCTCAGATTCTCCAGCATTTGCAGTTCCTACTATCTCCGAAGGAACTTGCTCTTGCTGGAGCTAGTCTGGACATAATGTGCAGAATAGCATTGTCTCTGCTGAAATCAAACTTTAACTCCACAAAAAGCATTGCTAGACATTATTGGATGGTGGTTTGTTTGGGCACATTCCCAAACAATAAGTACAGATGAGCATCAACAGAAAATCAACAGAACACATCTTATATAGGTAGTTCTGCCCCTGCCCATGAAGCAGCAGGATTTGGATTATCATAGAGTGTAATAAATCATCAGAAACCTTTTCTGATACCAAGTACCAGAAATCAAACTCCCTCTGAGGAAGTGATGGATCGGGATCACCACTTGAATATTCAAAAGATTTTAAGATTGCTTGTAGCAGTGATCAACATGGATATTCACCTTAATTCTTGAATGCTACAAGTTACTAAAGTGAGTGTTTGGTTATAGAATCAACTATATAGATTATGCACCAGTGAAATCAGGCCATTAGCCCAATAGGTCAATTGCGATACGAATGCTCCATGATAGCTTTGACACTAGCACCATAATAAACTACAGCTATCTCACTTTCATCTAGCTTTTCTTGAAACCAATCAATCTGGAGAAGGACCCAGTAATGGGTGGGGAGTGAGCAGTGAGCAGTGAGCAGTGGCTCGTTCTGAAGATTTGATTGTGCAATCTGGCTGTATAGGAGAAAGTTTTATCTGATATCACTGCACAGGAAGCACCTATAATTATGGAAGACAACCTTCAAGATTTGCACGAGATATAAAAGCTAGATTTAGTTGATCAAGATAAGACAACAAAATACAAACTGCCCTATAAATTAGTCAGACAGCACCAGCTTTTCAGGTGATAACAAATCTACTCAGGCCTTAATATGGCAAACTGAAAGTGCATCACGTTAAGAAGAATGATTATACTGGCAGACAAGAGGAAATACCAGCAACCTCTGATCATACTACATTCATCCTTCTTCATTTAACAAAAATACTTGAGAGATACAATTAGTAGTCTGATTTTCACTATTGATCCATCAACTCACCATCTCCCTTGTATTGTGGCCTAAAACCCAGTAATGGGAGCACATCAAGCCTCAAGAACTGCAACCCATACTCAAAAATGAGTACTGACATCTATCTAATTATCTAGAGATCCCTTTCCAATGTTTCTTTGTCTCAGTCATAATTATAAATGTTTACTCAGGTTTCAGGTACTAATCAATTGGCATTTAGAGAAATGTTTGCTGTTGTTCTCCAGTACATGCCTCTCCCCACCCCATCCCTACTGATACTAATTAGAATGTTAACAGCAGTAATCGTCAGTGATAATAGACCATTATCAACATGCTTCCATTTCAATTGCTTTCAGCTGTTTACAACAAATTGAATTATGAAAGTTAATTAAGAACATAAAAATAGAAGCAGTAAGAGACTTTTAAGCTATTCTGTCATTTAATAACATCATGACTGACTTTCAACCTCAATTTAGTTTTCTTTCCTGATCCCCATATCATTCCATTCTCCCTCAGATTCTTACAACACAGAATCCACATTTTGGAAATAAGAAATTCAAATGAACCACTCTCCTCAGTGATAAAATATCTTACCTCTGTCTGAAATGGTTGACTCCTTATCCTGCACTTTTGACCTTTATTTCTACATATTTCAAGAAGGTAAACAGCCCCCCAAAATCAGCCCTGCCAAATGCCTTAACAATTTTGATGTTACAATGAGATTCTCTCTCATTTTTCCAAACTACAGAGATCACAGGCCCTTTCTCCTTCATCTTTACCCAGATACAAAGGAATCAGTTTAGTGAATCTTTCTTCCATCTTACTGTAGGAAATTGTATTCTTCCTTAGAGGGAGACCAAAAAATACAGTCTCCAAGTCTGACCAAAGCCACGTACAATTGCAGCAATACCCTTTTACTGTTGGGGAACCTCCTTGTAATAAAAACCAAAATACTAGTTACATTGCCAATTGCTTGCTGTATGAATATGTTAGATTCTTAAGAGTGCATCCCATAACTCTTAAGATTTTTTAAAAATTCACTATTTAAAAGCTATTTTTGAGCTGTCCATGGGAACAAACTTGTACTTGTCCACGTTATACAATATCAACTACCTCCTTGTACATGTAGTTGGCCTATATTCGAATCCATTTGCATTATGCACATAAAACAATTGTAGATGGAATATTAAGTTATCAGAAACTAAATCATTTGGTAATACAAAATGTATAAGCATTGGGGAGAAAAACATTTTGTCAAAGCTTTTTCAATGCACTTAGCAGGATAGTTTATAAGGAACACTAAAGTAAAGGGAAAACAACATTCCTACTATATGAGAGGAGTGTGCTAATGGGTAGACAAGTGGCTTTGGGTTAGTAGAGGTGATGCAGCATAGAATTGATGACAGTTAACTGCAGAGTTTTGTTTAAACTTGAACCAGGCAGGATGACTTTGGTCACAGCATTACTTTATGAAATTAATCATAGAATGGTTTCTGAACTAGGGAAAATAAATCTGGAATCGAGATCAAAGATGCAGTAAATACTGTTGTACTGCTTGACTAAATATTTCAGTTTTGTGCATGTGTAATTGAGAAATTCATTAGCTGTGACCTGATCAGTCTATAGGACTGGTTTTTGGAACACTTGCTCTTTGCGTTGAAATGTGTCAGTTTGAAAGAACAGGTTAGTTAATGGATATCTGTTGCATTGTACCAATTTAAATTCTGCAGTATTGAGGAAATCAATTCTTTCCTTGTGCATTGTTGCTTTAATGTAGAAGTGATCCATTTGATGCAAATGAGTTCACAATCTCTAGAGTACAGAAGGAGGCCATTGGTCCATCAAGTCTGCACTGATCCTCCCAAGGGCATCCTACCCAGACCCAACCATCACCCCCCCCACCCTATCCCTGCAACCCCACATTTACCATGGCCAATCCCCCTAACCTGCACATCTTTAGACCCTGGGAGGAACCTGGAGCACCCAATGGAAACCCACACAGACACGAGGAAAATGGATGTCTGCGTGGCGTTCGCATAATGCTGGAATCAAACCCGGATCCCTGGTGCTGAGAGTCAGCAGTGCTAACCACTAAGCCACCACGCCACCCTCAGTTAGCAAGAATGAAAGCATGATTTCCAAAAATGAAAACATAGTCCTCAAGTAAAGCAAGATGAGCCTTAGAAAAAAAGATTTTTGATTTCTGCTGGTTGGTTTCTGTTTCTTAGCAGTGCAGATTTTCTTCTCTGAAGATAATTTTGATCAATTGATTAACTCACCAACTGGTATAAAATGGAAAATGTATCGGGGGAAGAGGTTTGTAGCATCTTTTCACATCTACTTATGCAGAAGTGAGTTCTGCTATTTAATTTTGTTAAGGGATGGTTGACAAAAGGTGTTTCAACATATGCAGTTTTGGATAAGTCCATATTTCTTGTGTCAAATGTATGAAATTGCTTATTCAGTACGTTAGAAAGGATTCTTCTGCTTGGTCCCTCTCCGCCATAAAAAAGTCTTATTACTTTGAAAACTAAAGGGATGCACATTGATAGAATCACAATTATTTCATGTCACAGCAAAACATTGTTCATTTCAAAACAAAATAACTGTAATAAAGTAATTATCCACTTAAACTACAAACACTATTCTGGCAGTTGGCTACTCACCGTACAGTCATAGTGCTTGCTTCCATTGCAGATTCTATCCTTCCTTCTTCTGCTACTGCAGCAACAGGCGCAAATCTTTCTGAATCAAATGGAATTTCAGGCCCAGAAACCGAAGCCTCAGCTCCAGAATTTCCAGGTGATGAAAAGACAGAACAAACCAGCACATTGCTTCGTAGTCTGTTAAGCTCTTCGTCAAGCTGTTTCTTTTCTTGTAGTAAAGTAGCTCTATCTGCAGAAAGCGTTTCTATCAAAACTAAACACGTAATATATACATTTAGAGTTATGCACATTAGCACAAGGTTTCATTTATCCAACAAATTAGTACTACATTCTCAAAATACAACCTCAACCGATTTTGACTATTGTTAACTTATTAACTTTTTGTTATACTTTAGAGGTATCATACTACAGATTCAAATGTTTAAAAGGGCAGATGGGGAGAGAGACCAAGATTTATTAAATCATACTTCTAACTTAAAACCGTCTACATTGAGCTAAATGATCCTTCAAATTAATCCTGTAGTAAGTGAACCTTAACTCACCTCTATCCTTTTCTTGTTGCTGGGTTAGCTTTCTCAGTTTGTCATTCAAGTCATTGATAATTTGTTCTCTCTTCATTTTTTCTCGAGTTAGGACGGTATTGAAGTTAGTCTGAAAAACAAATCATTTGAGTGCAATCCAAGATTTATAAAATCAACAACCTGACAACTCTGATGTTCCAGAGGAACTACAATGAATTCCTTTATATAAAATCATACAAAAAGAATTTATATTCAAAATACAATTAAATATTCTATAACAGTTGCATGTTGCACAAATGCATCACTTTGTTCAGAATAAGACATAATAAAGAAATCAACCAAAATACGTCCAATGGGGAAAATAAAAACATATAGTTAGTGTTTGAACTACATTTTAGAACTGATCATTTGGAACTCCACTTGGAGTTCCTTGGAATATTTGTACCAATGTGGACAAAATATTCATGCAAAATATAATGGGATTACAGCAACAGGCAGAAAACCATATGATGATTGAATTCAATTTGATTGCAACTCACATAAGTAGTAACAATTTTGCAAAGTTTGAACTCAAGGCTGAATGTTACTAAATAAATAATGATGCAAAGATCAACTCTCAGCTGCGTATTCATAACAAGGAAATTATACCTACACAGATTGGATACTCAGCCAATGCTCTGACGACAGAATGATTTAGGAGACAAATCAAGTACATAATTTTATGCATTCTTTTAGATTAAGTGGTCATGCCTTCTGACAGAAGTTGCAGTTTGTTTAACTGATAGAAAATTGATTATACAAAAAGTCTTTATATTAGGTTTCTATTTTCACATGCCTCAATTTTTGGACAGGTTTTGGTTTGGTAGGGAAAAATAATACCTATAGTCTCAATTTGTGGCTCAAGCCCAAAGTTAATTTTATACGAATATCTTTCACACGTGTGTTTGTAGCCCAAATTTGCGCTTTGATCGATTCCCTTTAGCATTCAAAAAATTCATTCATGACCCACCCCACCAAAAGTGCTATACCAGTATATCAATTATTTTCTTTTAATACTTCAGTGTTCTGGAACAAGAAACTGAGAAGGTATTAGTTCGAACAATTAGTTATAACTCTGTCTGCCATCGAAGTCTGTATATCTGTATTTGCCCATATTTCTCATCACTTTCAATTAAGAAAATTCCATCAACATTAATTTTAAAATTAACAACTGATCCAGCATCAATGGCTGTTTATGGAAGAGAGAGGTCCAAACTTTTGTGAACTCTTGCATGAAGTGTTTTCTAGTTTGACTGCTGAAACGTCTCAAGATATTGCTCGCTAATCCTGAACTCTCCCATCAGCAGAAATGGATTTTTTCCAAAGACCAAACAAAGAGCAAAACAGCACAGGAACAGGCCATTCGGCCCTCCAAGCCTGCGCCGACACATTTTACCCTTCCATAATAAAACTGTCTTCACTTACAAGATCCGTATACCTCTATTCCCTTCCTATTCGTGTATTTGTCCAGGAGTTTGTTGATTAGTGCCTGGAATTGAAATTAACAAATCACCCAGGTTGAGATTTTCCAGACTGAAGTTAAAGTTTAGTCGCACAGGAAACATCATATTCAGCCAAATGTCTGGGCAATTTAACTCAAATGCTTAGGTGCTTTTCAGCTTATCCATGCCAGGAACATGCTGTGCAAGTTACTCAGTATTACGGGGACAAGGAGGTTGAACTCCTCTGATAATTAAACTGAAACACAAGCCCCAACTTGTTACGGCAGGAGTAGAAGTTACCTTCTAATAATTAAACCCAAAACATCCAAAGAATTTCATCCTGTCTTTATAATCTGTTAGAAAAAGTCATTAAATGAAAGAAAATCTCTGATATTCACTTTATAAGTAACAATTTATTTAACCCTAACAGTGAACAAATTAACAGAATTACTAACAAACCAAACAGTTCCCCGTTAACTACTAACTATTCCCTAACTGAACTAAATTCTACTGGTATGCTGTTCCAATACACAAAAGTCCCACTTATATAAACCCAAGTAATAATAAATTAAAACTTAGTCTCTCAAAGTCTGCACGCCTTTCTTCTGCTGTTCTGGCTGTGAGGGATGCTTTCTCTGAAGTCTTCTGTGAGGACTCTTACTAGAAGTGCCATGGTACCTTTTAATGGATAGACGGCGCTTTTACAGAGCTTAGTGATTTCTTCTGAGACCTAGATGCTTATTTCTCAGATGGCGGTTTGCTCTCACCCTGATTTTCAAAAACCCTCTCTTCATATACCTTGAATGATATAACTTACATTTCTTATAATTGCATTGGTCCGAGGCTATCATAACCATCAGATTTAAATTCAATTGACTTTCAATCACTAAGTGCTTGGTTTAAATTAATTGGCTGGTTCTACCTAGTTTCCAAAATATCAAAACAAAGCTAAGGTTTCCAATCACACTGCCAATTGATACATGTTTCAATTTCAGAACTGGCTGTACATCTTCAGCCACACGCAGACACTTTTCTTCTGTATGAATCTAAGCTTAGAAAAGCATTTTGCCTCTTGAAAGAACCATGCACTCTTCCCCTTTATCATTTTTTAAAAAACAAATTCTAGCTTCCTGCCTTTCAATTAATGATTACTCTACACAACGTCGTAACACTCCATGTACAGTGAATTAGTCAGAAGGTCTTGCCACTGGCAGGATCTTCCAAGGTTAAAGGCTTAGAGTACCATATTTAAAGACCAATTTAAATGCCAGACAACATTTCATTCGTGCAAGTCAACAACTTCCCTGGAGCCCTTGGGAGTCGCCATCAGAAGTCCTGAAATGCCTGCCAAGATGTCAAAGCTGGTTCTCAGGTATACTTGTACTACCTTCCAGATAGTGCTGGTTGGGGCCATAGAGACAGTTCCCCACGTTCCAAGAGACAGTATCAGGATGTCATCCCATCAGAGCAATCAAACCCTGGAGTAGACTGTAGCATGAGTCATTGAGTACCACTGGCTCACACAAAAGGGATAAGAAGCAGTCATAATAGGATTAGTGATATCCTGTGCTCTGTAATGAAAAGTGGCACCATTCACTCTCTGCTACTTCACACTCACAGGGGCATTCATTTCAATTTGCCACTGCACAGTTATCACACAAAAACTCAGTTTTCAGGCTTCCAGTGTCAGTAAAATTCTAACAGGTTTAGACAAGGTAAATGCTAGAAGGTCACAGTTGATGCATATGAAGTAGGCCATTTAGGATTGAGAAGAGGAGAAATTGCTTTGCCCAAAGTATGGTAAGCCTAAGGAATTCCCTGCCACAGAAAGCAACCGAGACCAAAGCAGTGAATGTTTTCAAGGTTGAGGGGTTAATTATAGCTGTAAAAAAAAACTGGAACAAGGTACTGAGTTGGATGATCAGCCATGATCATATTCAACCGGGAGCAGGCTCCAAGGGCCAAATAGCCTACTTTTTCAATTTTTTTAAATGCCAATTTCAGGTGCTTGATCTCTATTCAATGGCTCACAGCAATTATACCTTCTGAAACTATGAATCCATCCTGCACTTTCTACTCACTTTCTGGGACAGATCACTTCTTGAATGGCTTGACACGCTCAGAAATTGTTCTAGTCACCACTCACATCATATCAATCCTTTTTACCTCTTTGCAGGAGAAGCTGGCACACATCTGTGCCAAGGGGACCAAGACTGGCAGAGAGGTGTTAGATATAGTGTGAGTGAGGATCTTTAAGTAAAGGGCTAACAAACAGAAATTGGTGGAGAAACTTAGGAGGTCTGGCAGCATTGCGGGGGAGAAAATTGAGTTAATGGTTCAAGTTTGATGACTCTTAGTCAGAAGTCATAGCAGCTTGGAAGAAGATTTTTTTATGCTAAAGAGTTGGTTGTTGAGGGGGACAGGGGAAGGGATCTGTGTTTTAGAGACAACCACATTGTGAACAGAGAATACAATACATTGCGTGAAGTGCAGGGAAACTGCTGCTCCATCTGGAATGTTTGTCTGGGGCCTTGGAAAGGGAGGAGGCAGGAAGTAAACGGGCAGGTGTTACATCTTCTGTGATCGAATGGTAAAGGTGGGGAGCTTGGACCAGGATGTTCTGAAGGGATTGGTCCCTACAGAATGCTGACAACGGAGGAAAGGGAAACATGTCTCTGGTGGTGGCATCCTACTGGAGGTGAAGGAAGTACAGCTTACAATCCTTCGATGTGGAGACTGGTGGGGCAGTAAGTGAGGACTAAGGGACCGTATCATTGTTAAGGGAGGGAGGGAGGGAAGAGAAGTGAAGTGGTGAGGGGAGAAGTGTGGGAAATAGGTTAGACATGGCTAAGGGCCCCGTAAACCATGACAGCAGGGAATCTTGATTGAGGAAAAAGGTGGGACATTTCTTAGAATGGAAGGTGGCATCATCAGAACAGATGATGTGACAGAGATGGTGAACCTGGGATAACACGATGGACTCCTTACAGGAAGGAGGGTGTGAGGATGTATAGGCCAGGTAACTATGGGAGTGTGGAAGTGGGCAGGTTTGTAACAGATACTGATGGCCAATCTATCCCCAGAAATGGAAACGGAGAAGTTGAGGAAGGGAAGGAAAAAATCAGAAATGGACCAGGTGAAGGTGATAGCAGGATGGAAATTGGAGGTGAAATTCATAAAGTTTTACAATTTTAAATAAGAGGGAAGGAGAACTGATGATGTCATCAATGTACCAGAGGCAGGGTTGTGGGTGGGGTAAAGACAGGCATGTTAGAGGCCCCCTGTTTTCTGGCAAAATGGAGGAGTAGTTCATCCACATCCTCACTACTATTAACTATTCCAGCAAAAGTGTGTTTGGCTGCCTCCATGGGTGGACAACTTGTATACCCAGGTCCAGCAGAATGCTCAGTGGTGCCCTCAGACCCGCACTCTCATGCTCTCTCTCGTCAGCATACTCAGCATCATTGGCAAGGCAAGGACAAGACATCTCAACTTCACTGTGTCCCTTCTCAAGGAGGCAGTGTAGTGCCAGCAGCAATCCATAGGGAAGAGGAGGGACAGAGAAGTACCCCAACAGTTTTTCAGGATAGTCCAAAGGTACACTATCCCCCACTTCTACCAGCATCCCCTTTGCGTCCAGCAGCTCAGG